CTGCCGTCGACAGAGCGGCGTATACCTCTTCAGCGCCTTACCAGCTTCTTCCAGTGACCTTTCGCCCTGCCTCCTGAAGCAGATTCCCCCTTTCGGCGAGCTCTCATGGGTCAGTCCTAGCCATTTAACCTCCTCCTTCATCTTTCCTCGCAGTTCAGGCAATCGGTCGCCGATAAGGGATCTCGTGAGGTCCCCTCCGCCCACCCAGAGCTCTTCCTTGGCCTCCGCCAGGCTGAAGCCTTCCCTTTCTGACCATGCCTTCGCAGCCTGCCTTGCCCTCGTAATGCCGTACACCAGTCCATCGATGCTGTCGCTCTTGACTCCGACGCACAGGTCGTCGGCGTAGATAACGACCTTGATGTCGTACTGCGGAGCATCTGGGTTATCCGCGTCTTCCTGGTGGGCCTTCTTAATCTCGTCTACCATCCCGCACGAATCCAGTACGAACAATCTTGGCGACAGCCCCGACCCCTGGCTCACCCCTTTCGTCCTTAGGCGAGTGGCATGCTCTCCGCTGCTGCTCACTAGGGTGACTACCCTGCCCTGGAGGAAGGATTTAACCAACTGTGTCCATTGAGCGCCAACGCGCGTGTTCACCGCTGCTTCGACATTCTGCCAGCGGCAGTGGTCGAAAGCTCCCGTGACGTCTTCCAATAGCATGCCTGTGAAGCCTTGGCGGCATCGTTTCAGCCCCCCCTCTATCCAGTCCCTCATCGCTTTGATTCCAGTGACTGTCGAACGGCCTGGCACGTATCCGTGCACCCCGTCCGGCACCTCGTGGGTGCGCCAGTGCCACAGGATCACCTTTTCCAGAACCTTGCCCAAGACCCTGAGCAGCGATATTGGACGCCATCTCTTCCACGGGTTCTCTGCTAGGCCATTCCCTTGGTCCACTCCTTTGGAGGGTTTGGGTATCAACACCAGTCTCACAGGTTTGAAGGCTCGGGGAAAGACCCCTAGTTGCACCGATGCCTTCATCACTTCCCAGATTTCTCCGCGAAAGTTGCTGGAGCTCTCCACCGCGTATCGAACATGTTCGTATGCACATTCATCATCTCCCGGAGCCCGCCCTTTTGGCGTGACAGCTAGTAGGCGGCGGAAAGTCTCCATCTCCATCTCGAAGTATGGTCCATGGTTCGCCTCTTCCCTGTGGTGATTCGCAGAGCCTTCCCTTCTGTCTCCATCCCCTGTTGCTGGACCTACGAAGTAGTCCATGGCCTGCTCGGCATCGAACCATTCTTGCAGTGCCCTAGGCTTCGCCCACCTTTTTACCGCTCCCTCATCCATGGCCTCTATGGCCTTCCTAGCTGCATCCCGTTTGCGTTGCTTA